GTTTTTGGTTACTAATTTTGTCAGAGGACACGGGTTGACAACATAGAATGTTCAACATCGAAAGTGTGTAAAATGCGACGCCCTATTAGACCACTGTTAAAAATTTAACTTAAATGACGACGTAGCTGGCACTGAACGCAGGCACATTTGGATTTAAGTCACTTTTATATGTCCACTGAATTCATTGGTGATAGAAATTGTTAAATAATGTTTGGCACTGAAAGTGTCCCATGGTTTCCAATCAGACTTTTTCGTTATATGTTTCAACACTTGGTTGGTGAATCTAAATAAATTTACAGATTTACTAATCAAATGGTGAAGCGCAAAACGCAGAAAGTCTGATTAGAAACCCAGCTTAATGCCGAAAACCGATTAAATCACATAAAATGGACAGTTCCCTTCTGCATTTTCGGACCATGAGGATGAATCGTTAAACTTTGTTCCCAATCAAAATTTTTTTCGTTTTCCGTTTCAACATTTGATTGGTGTTTAAATAAATTTATTCGGATTCACCAATCAAATGTTGAAACGCAAAACAAAAAAAGTCTGATTGGGAACCCAGCTATAGAGAGTATCTGCTTTTGACGTCACACTTTCAGTTAGGAATATAATAGGTGAGTCCTTTCTACCACCAATCTCAGCTATCTAAGTAGCTTCACGGTTGCTGAGGCTACATCAAAAGAAATTATTCTTTTATTGATGCAGTATACCTTTAAGACAACTTAGATTAGCTGAGATTTGTGGTAAAAGGAACTTTTACCGCCAATCTCAGCTAATCTCTTATTTTAATTTGTTATATAAAAGAACAGTTTCTTTTGAAGCAGTCTTCGTAACCGTAAACTACTTTGATTAGCTGATATTGGTGGTAGAAGGAACACACCTATACTAGTATGTTCCATATCTATTATTAACAATAAACAACAAAATAGCAACACAACCTGAGTTCGTCAGAATTTTTTAAAAATTGTTAATAGAAATTTGTCAAAGAAATTTTATTATAAAACACTTCTGTAATGTAGATTTTTATAACGTACGCTAGTTTTAGATTTTAATCCATGAAGAAAAATTAAAAATGAAACAAATTTAAACTGTTTATTGAAACTTACAGATTACATTATTCTGTATTATTCTACATTGTTTATATCATTTTGATTCAAACTAATTTGTAAATTTCTTGCCCATATAGGAGGCAACGTGGCAAACGTTAAATATCCTGTATGTCCAGGTAAACTTGCTGGTGGAATTGAAGTAATAGTTTTGAATGTCTCCCTTTCTTTTTTTTCACATTCGCTGCCATCTTTTTCATTTTTAAGAAACTCCAGGTTTAACAGTGGCAAAGATCTTTGTTGCACAGCATACTGTGTTTGAAGTACTTCCACTGTCTGTATTTCTTGAAACCCCAATTTAAGCAACATTAAACAGCTCTTTTGTACTTGTTCGATGCAGGGTGAAAATGAACATAACCGTCCCCCTGTGTCTTTTATTGATTTTATTGTATGTGGTATCACTAGCCACGGATGTGGTAAATCCAAGAACACTGCATCAGCTTTGTTATTCAAATCATCTCCAAAACCACTTTCACATACATCTTTATTGTTTACCGTAACATAACTTGTTAATCCATGGTCCTCAAATTCGTCCCGAGCAGTTTCGGCACGAATTTCATGAAAATCAAATGTATATAAATGTCCATGTGGCTTTACAGCTCTAATTAAAGCATGAGAAAGAGAACCACTCCCTGTACCACTTTCGATAACAATACTTCCCGGACACAACTCTAATTGGAGGATAATCATACTTATATCTGGCGTGTAAATAATTTGAGTTCGGTGTGGCAGTGTAATAGTCCATAATTCTGGTGTGGGTTGCAATACATAGCCCCATCCTTTGCTTAGTGTTATCTTAGAACCATAATGTTTACCTATCAAGTCCGCACATTTAAGGGCTCCATAAGGCGTTTGAAATACATTTTCTATAAAATTGCCTTTCTTATTTACTGTTTTTGGCTCCGCCTTAATACAATACACTTGGGTTATTGTTAAATACAAAATAACGGTATCGCCTTCTTTTATAACATTTTTGTAGCCATCAAAACTCATTATTTTAGGTTAGAAATGTTACAAACGTCATGGAACATCGGATGATGAAATCACAATCACATACCTAAGCCACAGAATAACCAACATTGTTGGTTATTCTGTGCCTAAGCAGAGACCCCTAAGTACAATTATATTTATCTATGCATGTGGATGGAATACGTCAATCCCTTTTGTTATTTAATAAACTGAAGTTAGGCATAATCAATGTTGCCAATCCTAGCTTGACTAAAAATTAAGGCTGACATTCAGTAAACTGAAGTTACGAACCTCGGAAATTCTTTCTGTACTTCGTCGATAAGCCTACTTTTCAAAGTATATGTATTGGAGACGACATTTATCTGTTCTGTGGACGAGATTACTAATATATTTAGGACTGGAGATTTTAAAAATTCTCAGCGTACTATTCATGTTGGCATCTGTCTGAAGGTTTTTGTAACATTACCATGTAACGCTCCAGTATATTTCCGCCTTATTTTAAAAAGTTTAGAAGAACGAGGATAGATATAGTTCATGGTAGAATCAGCGCGGATAACATTTACAAGTCGCCAGAGGCTCGTAATCATAGAAAATATATTATAATATTTTTTTTATTATATCTTATCTATGCTCGTAATTCACATTCAAATAGGGGTTGGCCCTTAGATTAGGGGTTGGCCACAAGCGAATGTTTCCAAACAGCAAGATTTAAAAACTGCTGGATCAAATAGTCAAATTTTGACGTTTCTTTGCATCACTTTATAAATTTGTATACAATAGCCGGCTGGATTTAAAGGTAAGTTTATCATATTTAGTATTTGAAATAAAATAATAACAATCAATAATGTAAACATAACCATATATTTACAAATAGATCCTTTGATTCTAAAGCACAAACACGTAAAATTCACAACTACTAACAAAATCTAACTCAGATATTTGTCACTTATTATGTAAGACAATTTGAATTATTTGCAAACTTTTCAATGCCGCCAGTTTTTTGTGATACCTATGTAATAATTTTTTGGATTCATCTCAAACCAACAAAAGATACTTGCATTACTTTGACACTGATACAAGGAAAAGATGCCGGAAAATAAACAACACGTCATAATTTTAGTTTATTTTGATACACAACATATAAGTTATACATACAAAAAATACATAAAATCGATTCTATATGTTTCATGGTTAAAAAAATTTTATAGGTACGTAAAATATTACATAAAACAAAAAATTTTAAACTGCTTTTTGTAATTTCTAATATATAATTTATATAAAAAATACTGCTAAGTCTTTGGCAAGAATAAAGTATAAAGTAATAACAAACAGGCATATTTTTTCAACAAATAAATAGTAAACATTTTTTATTTGTGTATTCGCATTGTATACGGCGAGTGCTGAATCAATTCGAACAGGCGCTAAAATGATATATGTGTAGATACCTTATGTGGAGTATTGATGATGGTTCTCACTTCAGGTGGAGGGCATAATCCATTCATGTACTTTTAACGTCTGTTCCACTTGAAACAACTCTCTCTGTATGTACATACTACCTACTATTTAGTGTTATATTAATATTTTTGTAGCAGCCATAATTACATTATTGCTCAGTTAATTTATTTGTAAATTTAGTTTGAACATTTTGTTGATTTTATTAATTTAACAATGTTCTGGCAATTATTCAAAAAATTAAATATGAATATTAAAAAAAATACTATAAGGCTATTAACTAAATACTTTATAAAACTTAAAAAATTAATAATAGTTCAATCAACTGGGTACGGCGTGTGCCGTACATTCGCCAATTAATGTATCAGTTAAATATGTTATTTTAAGACTGCGAGCTATATACTGCTTTTCCGTGGGACTGTTTACACTCCAAACTATTACTCTTACACCTTTCTTGCGCCACTTTAGAATGTCTTCCCTGAAAAATATTTTCATGAATACATTGTACTTAATGAATTAAGAAATACAAAATAAACTAAAATTAATATAAAATAGGAAAATGGATTGCGGTTTTTTAAATTTGTAACTATAATAACACAATTAATTAAGAAACAACAGCATCACATCTTCATTTGATTTATCTAATTATAACAGTGCTGAAGTCCTGGGTTTGGCTTAGGTATGTGGATGATATTTTTGCAGTGTTCGATACAAAAGTCGCTGATATAGATAACTTTGTATATAAATTAAACAGTCGTTTTCGCGTCAGTTAAATTCACATATAAAACTGAAAACTCTGGACAATTACCATTTTTAGATGTATTAGTAATTAGAAATAGTGAAAATAAGTTAGAATTTCACATTTACAAAAAAAGATACCAGTACTCAAGATATATCCCTAAGGACTCTCACGATTGTGCTCAACACAAAATGGCGAGTTTTAATTTTCTAGTCCATCGCCTATTAAGCTTCCCCCTCAACAAGGAGAGGTTTGGAAAAGAAAAGGCATTGATTAAGGATATAGCTACGAGTAATAGATATTCTGTAAGTTTAATTGATAAAATAGTTAGGAAACGTAAATTTTAAGACTCCTCGACCTTTCAAAATGAGAGAAAATCCAAAATTTGTATCGATTCTATACGATCCTCGATTCATCCCTGGTATTGCTAAGATTTTTAAAAATATAGGTATGACAATGGTTCATTCATCGGGAAATAAACTACAACTTTTAGGCAATTCAAAAGACAAAATTGAAACAAACGAAAAGTCGGGGATTTACGAAGAGCTGTAATCAAAAGTATGTAGGACAAACTAGACGATCAATTCAAACTAGATTCAAGGAACATATAGCTCATCTCAAGTAAAAAGCTAATGTTGCCCAACATGCATTTGAGAACAGCCATAAAATAAATATTAGCAAATCAAGATTACTTAGGAATGTAACAAATACTAGCCAACTGGATGCATTTGGAAGCTTGGGCATGGTAGCCGAGTGGGTAAAGCGCTTATAGCTATTTGCTCGGTACCGAATATCGATGGTTCGAATCCATCCCGGAGCAACAAATTTTATTTGTAATTTGCTTCGGATTAAGATGGGAGTGAACTGTCGATGCCCTACATGTGGTTCGGACTGCACAATAAACTGTAGGTCCTCGTCTCTCTTTACTCAACATAAAATCCTAGGATTTTCAGGGAGTTACCTCGGTGACTTGAGAGGCGGTTAAGAAAACAAAAACAAAAAAACAGCTTGGAAACCACAAAGTGTAAAAATTCTATAAACAGTGACAGAGGGCAAATTCCAAATAGCCCTCTCCATTGGTTAGTGAGTCACGGTTCACGTACCGTTACAATAGTTTAGGTATAAATAGGATTGTTTCCATAAGATTAGTTTTAATCGTCTCCAGATGATGCCAACTTGATTGGTGAATCGCGCGTTGAATGCAGTACATGGTGTTTTGGGGAAAACTACGTCAGTGTTAATTACAATAATTTTAAAAAAAATTGATTAAATACATTTGACAATTGAATAGCCATTTCAACTTACGCACTAAATGCATCCTTATGCAATAAAATAAGTGAGAGTCCCAGGACATAATAAGTTATCCTTGGCAATGCCCAATTATGGACTATATCACAAAAACATAGAAAATAATGCTTGTACCAAACATTTGATCTTCTTGTCCCCTTGCCTTCCGGATATTTAAAGGAACTGTAACTAAATGCATTTGGTCTCCAAGCTAGGCAGCAAACAATTTTAGGATTACTTCTTCTTACCTGAAAAAACAATTAACAAAACTACAAATTGTTAAATATATTATTAACAGTAAGTGTTAATGCCTCCATATTTCACCATTTAAAAAAATTTGTCGGCAACCGAATTTTGCCTGAAAACGGCCGCCTTAAACACTTAGTACTTACCAGGTATATGATATTAGGGAAAAAATGATGTTACAACAGCTCTGGATACTAAATCAGGGTATTTATTAAAAAGATTAATAATAACTGGTACCATCTAAAAGAATAGTGACATCATTAACATTATTAGAAAACAAAAAAAAATCAAAGTAGCATTGGATATAAGTATGCCCAATAGAGCGTCCGACGCCACACATTCAGTTTGGGGTATAAACAATAAACAAAAAAGCAACAAAACCTATAACGCGCAGTTGTCAATGAGCTGTCAGAAGTTGAGGAAATATATTTATTAAAAGTTTGCTAAATTAATTATATTACAAAACACAGTGTTCTGTAATGTAGATTTATTTAAGGTACACTAATTTTTTTTTTAATACCACAAATATAGAGTATTTAACCATGCTGTCAGTTTGACAAGTGGCACGCAAATGGGCATTAACACCAAAAATAAGGCCGCAGTGCTACAGTGTGATGTCACAACTGCTAGTCCAGCCGAGCCAGTGTAATTTGCCATGGGTACTACAAAAACAAGTAATAAACAGTGCTAATGTTAATGAAATAGATTATGTCTATTGTTTACACTCCAAACTGAATGAGTGACGTGACTGATGCAGGTTCTCCGAGAGATGTTCTATTGCGAAGTGGAAAGTTGGGATTATTTGTACATGTCCATAGAAAGTTAGTTATGAGCATTTGTAGGTACACTACCTCAAAGTTTATTGATAAATGTTGATCTGTAACTTCTTAAGTACTTATAACTATTCAACAAATTTTAATGAAATATCCAACCTAATACGTACATTCAGTGGAAAAGTTTATTTTATCTATGAGCTGTAATACGCTAATTTATAACATTAATAATGAATCTGTTACCTTGGCATTATTATCTTTAATGTCAATAAACATCCTCTGTCCACACGCTAGCATTTGCGCAACCGCTTGATCTAAAGTTGGTATGTTAGTATTGGTAAATCGATCCCTATTAAAAGAAGTTGATTTTGTTAGGTATGAATTTATGAAGAAAATCACATGCTTAGAAGTACTTGATTGTATACAATTAATAAGAAATTGTTACTTTATTATTTAATAATTGTTTATTCACAGGTGCCTGCCAAAGAACTAAAATGCCTCTAAAACAGCAAGCGTGTTTTGGCACTCAAAAAATAATCTATAAACTCACTTAAGGGAGTGTTTCATGGAGATGTCGATGTTCGTCAACTCTTCCCATTTTGTATCATTTATTACTAAATTCAAATCTGTCATTCTCTCTAAAGTGGAGTCATGGAACACGATAGGAATTCCATCACTTGTTAATGTTACGTCAAATTCTATTGCATCACATCCTTTTTCATTGCACTGGAAAATTAGTCATTTAATATGTTTGCTTTCTTTTTTGTAATTATGAAAGTCTCTTTAAAAATTTGTTCTTTACTTCAGTTAAACTATTTTTAATTAATAAATCTCACCAGTTTGAACGCTTCCAGACTATTTTCCGGAGCATCTAATCCAGCACCACGATGAGCTACAGTTTTCATTATATAGTCTGAGGCATTACTTTCTAAATGTGGTTCTTTTCCGACAACGGCCTCTACAGCTGCAGCATCAGGGGCAGGTACTCTGATGAAATGTAGTGTCACTACTATAATAGCAGTAAATAAAATTGTAAATGGTATAATGCTGCAGAAGATTTCTTTAATTAAGAACCAACTACCATACGTAGCATATATTATAGTTAAAGCACTTGGAATTAGGCTTAGAAAATCGGTATTCATTTTAATATTTACATAAATCGACACTTTTGGTGTAATAATTATCATAAACACCAACCGTTTATCTGGTCACCTGCACAGAACAGGTCACCTGATAGTGACAGTTAACACCCGGAGAATTCTGTGGTTAACAACACAGAACAGAATAACCCAAAGTCACAGAACCACACTTCATGTATGATGCACAGAACAGAGAATGAGTGCTAACGTTTTCAGGCTCACCAGTTGGCGCCACTGGTCGAGTAAGGTCGTGTCAAAAGTTATTGTTAGGCGCGAGGAAGGTTTATAGTGTTTTATTATAATTATTTCGTACACCAGCAAATAAGAAACCTTTGTGCCTCAGTATTGTACAGTTCCATTTTGTTCAGAAGCAAAAGGCGGATATATGCTTTTGAGACAAAACTCGCCTAAAACAGTGGTTGATAGAGATAACTTATCTCCTTCGAAACATTCCTGTGTTTGTAAGCAAAATTTTAATCCTGACGATTATGCGTCACCAAAGGAGTTTACTACAGAAAATCGTGAATAATAATCATGTACATACATTCGTTGTGTTCATCATTCCCACGCTTGATATAACCTAACTTTAATGACGTAAGACCCTTATGATAAGTACAGCTACTACTTAGCAAGTAAATTACTACTTTTCCCTTCTGCCATTATTCTGTTAAATGTTTTTCAGCCAATTTTTATAAAAATTACTAAAAACTAGCATTAAAAAGCCATAGTAAACATTAACGTTCAGTGACATTGACCTTTCTGTACACTAATATGTCTCGTGGTGAATTCAGGCGCGTTAACGACCTTTATATTATGGAATCAGTTCCACTATAATCATCGTTGTATTGATTTAATAAAATTATGGGGGGGGAGCATCCTGACGTTAAAGGTTTTCCTTCTTGGTGCAAGACAATCTTCTAGGTATGTGGTGCATTAGCCACTGTGGTAGTTGTAACATTTTTTCTTGTTCTATGGGGAGTATTCGGTAGAAGCATAGATAAGGAAAAGTTAGGAGTCATATTACGGAAATGGCAAAATCTTGAGCATTCCCGACCTTTAATTTTAAAGTCGAATGTTCGCGATTAACCGTTGAAAAGCACATTTTCGCATTGAATTAGGTTGTTACTGTGAATGGCCAGCCACAAGGCTGGTGAACGTGCACCTGTACGTGGATATAAGTTTACTAGCTCTGGCCCAGCACATGAGTTAATCTATAATGCGAAGTACATTCCATAACACTTTATTAATTTAAAATGTGTTATACACTTAAATACATACACACGTAAGTTTATTTAACTCAAAATAAAATAACATTTATTTTTTCATTAGCCAGCTCAGCTCTTCGTCTTCTTTTGTTTTCATTACTGCGTGGGAAACTAATCTTCCCTGCTTCATTGTACTGCTGGATAATATTTTCGCAGGTTAAGTATATGATTTCTATAACGCTTATGAAACTAATGCCAAGAAAGAGAGCTACAGTACCTCCGATGGACACTACAATAAATTTTGTGTAACTTCTATTTTATATTTCAGATAGCTTACACATATTCATGGAAGAATTTTACAATACATTTTTTCATTTTTCTGTGATGTGATTAGACATTATCCCGAACGGTTGTAATTGGAATATCCTATAACGGATATTATAAGAATGCTTTTATTCAAAGGGATAAGATAAATAAACTATGTATGGAATGTGCAGTAGCCTTTTATCCTACAAGCCCATTAAGCCCGAACTTGGGTCGCGAAATATTTGGGGTCAGAACGGCGAACCAGACGGGTATAATAACTCAATAAATTTTAAAAACAGAACAAATGGAAATAAATTATTGACTCTAAAGGGCTTTTCAATAAGAGTGATATGTTTTTTTTTTAATGAAACAACAAGAAATTGAGGCAAAGCAAAATTTTTATTTTATTTTGAAGTAAAATCGATGTAATTGTGTTCTAAAAATAACATAATTCAAATGGTTGCTTTTGCCCCTCTTATAGGACCGAATCTGATGAACCCAATTTTCAAACACTTTATTCATTAAATCAGGGCTTATGTCACGAATACAGCGTTCAATATTCAATTTTAATGCATGATTTGTGTCTGGTTTATTGGCATAATCCAACGACCTCAAATAATCCCACAAAAAATAGTCCAAAGGAGTTAAATCACAACTTCTTGACATTAGCATTTTTCGAAATAATCGCCTCTCAGAACTTTTCACGCAATAAATTAATTGTGTCATGGGCTGTGTGGCACATAGCGCCGTCTTGTTGAAATCAGATGTTGGTTAAATCAATATCATTCAACTTAGGCCATAAAAAGTTCTTTATCATCGACCTGTACCGCTCATCATTGACAGTAATGGCATCTCCGTTCTCAT